TGGGCCCCCCTCCCGTGGGCACGGCGGGCCCGGTGCTTGGGCGAGTCTCTGCCATCCATCCTTTTCGTTTTTCCCTACGGATGCGGGTGTTTCGGGGTCGCCGGGCGGTGCCCACCTTGTCCCTTCTCCCTCTCGCCAGGTGCTGGTGCCCACTCGCGTGGGGCAGGTGTATGTCTATGACTCCCCGAAGGGTGAGAAGGACGAGTACGATTTCCCTCGTCACCTCCACTCCGCTGGGTCCCAGGAGATCTACGACGTGCCGCCGGTCCGAGGGGGGGTCCCCGGCCAGTTTGGCCAGGAGGTGAGGCTGGGAAGGGGCTGGGGTGGGTGAGGCATCACTGGCTCCATCCCCCCAAGTATGGGAGGTGCACTGGCTCAGCTTGGGCAAATTAACACTCAGAGCAGAACTATTGGCCTTGGCTTCTTCTGGCACATCCATCCTTCCCAGCTAGTCTCTGGGAGGAGGTGGGTGCTCACACCATCCTTAACCCACCATCCCGTGTCCCTCTGCTCCAGGTCTATGATACCCCCCCCATGGCAGTGAAGGGTCCCAACGGGCAGGACCCAGGGCAGGAGATCTACGATGTGCCCCCCAGCGTGGAGAAGAACCTGCACCAAACTGTAAGTGCTGATGGGAAGCTCCCAGCTTCTCCATATTAAGAAAGGCACATCTGGGAACCATGTGTGGGAACAATCATTCATTGGAACAACCTTCCTAGGGACATGGTAGGGGTGTCCTGGCACTGGAAGCTTTCAAGATGCGCAGGACTGGGGTATTCGGTGATCTCATCTAGGGTGTGAGGTTGGACCAGATAGATGACCTTTTGAGGTCCCTTCTAACCTGGGCTGCACTGGGATGTTGCGATCCCCACCCCAAAGGGGAAGGTGGGAGGAGGACGGGGGGTGGGCCACCCTCCCTAGAAGCTGGGCACCCTCCCTGGGTCTCACAGCTCCATCCTGGTGGGGTTGACCTGGGCTGGCATTCCCGGTGAGGCTGACAGTGCCCGTCTCTCCCCTTTGCAGGTGTACGACGTGCCCCCCTCGGTGAGCAAGGACGTGCCGGACGGGCCGGCGCGGGAGGAGACCTACGACGTGCCCCCCGCCTTCGCCAAGCAGAAGGGCTTCGACCCCCCCCGCCACCCCCTCGTCCTGGCCCAGCAAGAACCCTACTTGCCAGAGGACGTCTACGACGTTCCCCCGGCGGCTGGGAAAGCTGCTCCTGAGCCTCTGCTCTCTCACGAGATCTACGATGTGCCCCCCAGCCTCAAAAAGCTGGGGGGGTCCACCTTCCCCTGCCAGGAGGTGTACGACGTGCCCCGGGACCTGCACGCCCCAGGGAAGGGCTCCCTGGACACGGAGGGCGAGTACATCTACGACGTCCCGCCCCAAGTGGACCGCGAGGCCAAAGGTGCCGACGCCAAGCGCCTCTCGGCCTCCAGCACGGGCAGCACCCGCAGCAACGTCTCCACCTCCTCGCTGGACGTGGTGCCCGTGAAGGAAACGGCCAAAGGGGCCCGCCAG